GAATGAGGAAAATGTCTTTTCTGCCTATGGTTCTCTTCTATTTCATGAGATATCCTAAACACATAATTATCCTTACTTATTTGACAGGAGAAAATGCTGCCTGTCCTTTTAAAAACTGGGACTAATTTACACTTTCTCAAAGTTTATAGGCATTTAAAAAGAACCACACTTCCAACTGCAGGAAGAAAGAAAACATCCCAAGGCAGTAACAACAATAAAACAAGCAAATAACAACAAAAATAAACAAAATAAAACCCAGACCCAAAGCACCTCAAAACTTCCAGAAACTTTAAAGTCAGAGTCCTCAGGAGATGTTTCACTTATTTTGCGTATCAACCATAAGTATATTAAAATTAACTATGACTCATTAGAAAACACAAAATAAGGAATTCTATTTTAATAATTTCCCTAAATAGTTTTCTAGGTTTTTTCTTTTTCTTTTCTTTTTTCTGTCTTTTTTTTTTTTTGGTGTGTGTGTCCTCTCTTTTATAGAACATACCAAATTTTTTAAGATAGAAATCACAGGTAAATGTTAGATTTAAATTGCAATATGGATATTGGGTATTTATCCAAAGGAGTTAATACAAAAGCAGAAAAAAATCTACAAAAATATATCTTCTGCACTATTTGTTCCTCCTACACTACTTAGAAAAGTTTAAAAATACTGCAACGTATTTTTCTAACAGTACATTACTTGTCCCTATTATCCTGGATAAAACAGTTAGTTATTAAAACTTTGAGGCAGTGTAACAAGGGCCATGCTACAGCAGTGAAAAACGGAGACAGAAAAAGATAAAACTATTACAAACTGAAAAACGTTGAAACACTTGAAACTAAGTTGAATTTTGTGTGACAATAAAAACATTAGATTTTTTTTGGAACTGCTTTTTCACTTTTCAATTTTGTAAAAAGTGGCTTTATTCTTTTATATTTTTTTCTCTCTGCATGTTCATTTTGAAGGAAAATGGACAGAATTCCATCTTTAAAATGGAATCCAGTTTCAGGATTTTGTAGTTAGAGGGGAGCTGACCAAACACTTCTTTAGGAAAGAAATGAAGTAGGAGCAGGAAGAAAAGGAGACAAAAAGCAAGGAGTATAATAACTGTAATTGTGAATATTATTATTACATAATAAATGCAGTTGTTAAAGAGAGATTTCTCCTTCAGAATATTTTTAACTCGTACAGAAACTTCTGCGAAGATTCATCTTTTCTTAAAAATAGGAAAAATAACACAGTGTTTGTTTTTAATGTCAAAACTAAAGCAAAACTCTAGTAAAGGGAGCTGAAATGTCTTCTATCCCCTTATACCCACCTAGGAATGTGAGTCCTAGCAAGACACAACCCTTTGGCAGGTTCATTTTAGTGCTGGGCACATCCACTGAGGAGGGATAAATCGTTAGTCAACACCATGTAGTTCCCCCAGTCTCAACCTAAAATAGCCAGGTCACTGAGGCAAAACTCCTGTGGGGGCTGGAGATTGCATCTTACCCCAGCTGCCACTACTCTGGGCTCTTTAAAAACTTTTGCAGCCTCTGACTGTAAACACAGAAGCCCTGTCTTGTGGGGGGAAGGGGTAGGGAGGAGAGAGGATTAGAATTTAGTGAAACAGCTAACTTTGAAAAAGAATCTGTGAATAGAAATAATTGGTACTTTGTTAATGAAATAATTTTTTAAGAGATTTTAAAAATAGACTGTGGAAGTAGCCTACTCTAGGTTTTCTATTTTTTTTCTTCTACTGTCATTTAAAGAAAAAAATTTTTAAATTAATTTATTTCTTACATGGAAAAAAAAACTCAAAGGGAATTGAATTAAATTACTACTTATATTAGTTTGGGTTTTCTTGAACTCTAGGATAGCAAACGATGGGTTGCATTTTGTAGGAGATTAGAAGTCCGGGTAGAGGTTTTTGTTTTTTTGAGTGTTAAGTTGCTTTTGTTTTAGGAAGAAAGGGAACAGTGGTTTGATTACCCAGGGAGATTATCTGAGAAGGGTTTTTATCAACCCCTAAAGATTTAAAGTAAATGAAACAAACAGTTTGCTAAAGTTTTTGGGAGCTGGGGTGTCCTGCCTAGGTACCTTCTCCCTCGTCCCCCAATAAATATAACAAAAGGTTTGGAGACAGAGTTACTATTTATGAAGACCCAAAGACTACTGCAGACAGCTTCTGCGACCATCTTTTAGCCCTTTTCAAAAATCCACACACACACCACTAAGAAAAGTCCCCAGGCAACAGATCCCCACATTCTAGCCAAGAGAATCCCTCCCCGCTGGACTTTTAATTTTCTCTAGTTCTCTTTACTCTGCAGTTTTTTTCTTTCATTCAAAAATGTTTACTGTGAGTGCCTACTATGTGGCAGGCACTGTTTCCAGCTCATTGGTTTAGCTTGTTAAAAATTACGTTGTGATCAAGAGCTGACAAAATACGAAGTTAGTGGGGGCTGGGGGATGTCGGGGAGGGCGTGTGGGGACAGAGACGCAGCTGTCTCCCACCTTCGTGGACAGAAAACATTTTTTTTTTTTCCCGACTAAGCAACTAATAGCTCGTAATATTAAATTCCTGTTGCTTCATGGGAAGAAAAATGTCACAAAAACAAAAAATCCGACAAACACGTGGCTGGCTAGAACAAAACGCCGATTTCAGAGAGTGGATTCTGAAGGTGGTGGAGGAGACTCAGAAACCGAGTTGGAAGCCCTCCCCCGCCCCATTTCTTCCCGGCGCGCCGGGAGAACGAGGAGGGGGACAAAGGTGTTGAGTGTTGTGTTTAAACTCCCGACTTCGCAAACGGTAGGAAATCATCCGGCCGAAGGGCGGTGAGCCGAAGTCGGAGTTGGCTTAAGGACTCTGCAAACGAAAAAATAACAATAAAAAAATTCAAGCCATTCATATCGGTGCAGTCAACACGTGTTACGGAGCCGGCCCGGGCCGCAGGCGACTGAGACAATGGGGTCGGGACGGGGGAAGGGGAGAGTGACCCCCTTCTTCACCTGCCCTTGCAGCACGCGTGCCCCAGACAACCCTCCTCCCTCCCGCAGACTCGCGCGGCTCAGGGAACATCCCTCTTTCGGGGGGCGGGGGGGGGCGGGTGTCGTCGGCCCCCTTCTCCACGGTGGCCGGGCAGGGGGCTTCTCCCGGGTCCCCGGGCTGCGCTCTCCGACACCCCCTGGCGCAGCCTCAGCCTCCGCCGCTGGAAAGTCGGTGTCCCCGCGTCGAGCAGCCGGGGATCCCGGGATTGCGCGTGCAATGCATCCCGCGCTCCGCTGCGTGTCCGGGACTCCAGCGCGCGGCCCCTCCCCCACCGCGCAGACGGGGTGCGACCGCCCACGTGTCGCCCCCTGCCCAGTCCGCTCTTTCCCTCAGGCTCCGGGAGCCGGAGGATCCGGAACGCGTCGGTCCCGGCCGAGGGAAGGGACCTGGGCGGATCCACTTCCCCCTCCCCAAGAAGGGGGGGGGGTCGAAGGAGGGCCGCAGCCCCTTCCCCCGCCTCTCGCTTCCTCGAGCGCCGAGCGGAAATTACCCCCTCCCCGCTCGGGCTGACCTGGGGACGTGGGCGGGGCCTCGTGGTCCACCCCCCCCCTCCCTCCCCAACTCCAAGGCGGCCTTCCAAAATCTAGCACCCCAAACTAAGTTCCGAGACCCAAACCCGGCGCGTGGACAGCTGCTCTTGGCATCTCGGGTGGAGCGGGCGCAGGCGACGCCACCTGTCCGCTCCTTGCGTGGGGAGGGCGAGGGGACTCTCGGGTCTCCACCCGGTCACTCCCTTCTGAAACCAGCCCCCTTTGGTTCGCTGGCTCTGGGGGAAGCGACCACCCCTCCTCGTTCTCTCCCACCCTGCCGGTCCTTGGGGGGGGGGGTGATCTCGAGCCGGGTCGCGGGCTTCCCCCCCCCCAAGAACGCTGGAGTGTTGTCATCCAGCAGCTGGACTGGGTGCGAGCCAGCTTTCCTCCAGCGGGGATCCCGAAACACGATTTGCTGCGGGTCCCTCGTTCCCAGGCGCTGTCCCCCGTGTTCTCAGCTTCCTGGTCCCGCGCAATCAGGGTCCCCCGGATCTGGACCCGGGAGGCCAGGGAAGTCTCGTGGGGGTGTGGCGGGGAAGACAGTGACCCCCCTACTTAGAAATGTAGAGGAAAAGCGTCTTTCCTTTTAAATAACCGGTTCTTGCGACCCCCTCCTGAAGACCCCAGAGTCCTCGGCTTCTCTTTGTCTGTCTCGGCCGTCCCCCGCCTGTCAGTTGCTAGCAGTTTACCGGGGTGGGGTGGGCAGCCCAGTCTCCACGAAACGAATAAAAAAATGACCGTACATTTTACCCCTAAGGGTTGGGGAGATTTGGGTCGCCACCGCCCTCCCCACCCCAACCCCCAGTGCAGGTCACAGTGGCAAGATGGGTGGGGGCGGGGCGCCGCCTTAGGGGCCAGGTTCTTGCAAAGGGGGAGGGGGCGAGGAGAGCTTCGGGGACTCTGGTCTCCACCTTCCCGGTTTACCCCTGGGGTGCGCGGAGTGCCCCCCAAGACAAGAGGCTGTGGGGTTGGTCCAGGTTGGAGGGCCAAGGGGCCCGGTGGCGTCGGGGGTCTTTCCCTGCAGGGTGGGTGGGGGCTGTCACCACGTGGCTTCGCCTTTTTTTTTTTTTTTTTCCGCTCCATTTTTTTTTTTTTTTTTTCAAGTCGATTTTATTTAGAGGCGGCGCCAGGGCGGCCGCGGAGAAACGTGACACACCAGCCCGCTCGCAGGGGTTTCGGACCGAAGGGAAGGAGCCGCGCCGCGTCGTCCGCCTCCCTGTGCTCCGCAGGCACTTCTCCCGGGCTACCCCGAACTCTCCCGTGACCTCCGTGTGCCCTCAGGCCGCCCACCCGCCCGGAGCTCCGGACAACTTCAGGGGTGGGGTGCGGAGAAAGTTTGCAGCTCCTGCCGCCCGCCTCCACGCCGCTCGGCCTAGGAGGCTCTCCGCCCGCGCTCGCCCGTTCGGCCTTGCCCGGGACCGCGTCCTGCCCCGCCACCGCCACCATGAACAAGCTCTACATCGGCAACCTCAACGAGAGCGTGACCCCCGCAGACTTGGAGAAAGTATTTGCGGAGCACAAGATCTCCTACAGCGGCCAGTTCTTGGTCAAATCCGGCTACGCCTTCGTGGACTGCCCCGACGAGCACTGGGCGATGAAGGCCATCGAAACTTTCTCGGGTAAGAGCGCGGCCACCTCCCCGGAAAACACACACTTACACACACACACACACACACACACACACACACACACACACACACACCGAAATCCCGAACAACGGAGACCTGCAGCTCCTCTTCCCTTGCCCGCCAACTCTTCCCCGGGCCCGCGGGGCTCGGCCCCGGTCCCCTGCGTCCACCGACCTCCCTCGACGCCCCCTCCCCACGCAGAAACAGTCGGGATTGCCTTCCCCCTTCCCCCAGCCCGGGACGCTCGGGGCTCCTGGCCCCCCGCCCTCCCCACCGACGGGGCGGGAGCCCCCGTTGGCAACTGGTGGGGTGGGGGTGGGTCTCACGGGCGCTGGGGTCCGGGTCTAGGCGTGGTTTCCCCGCGGGCCCCCCCCACCCCCTCCGCCGAAGGGCCCCCCTGCTGGAACACCCCCACGCCCATGCTCTCTCCGTCCTAGGCCTTTGCAGGAGGGGTGTTCCCGCACCTCGGGGCTTCCCGCTCTTCCTGGGGACGAGCCCTGCGACAGGACGCGGGGGGAAGGGGCTCCCGCCTCCCGCCCAAGGCCTGGGGCTTGAGCCATTTTGATTTGAAAGTGGGGCGTGAGCCGGGTGGCGCGGCGGCGGCGGCGGCGGCGGCGGCGCCGGGTCGCCATGCTGCTTCCCGAGACGCCCAGGCTGGGCCGAGAGGCGCGCGCGCGGCTGCCGCGAGGGACCCTCCCCACCGGGCCGCGCCGCGCCGCGCCCCCCGGGGCCCTCCGCTGGCCCTCCGGCCCCGACAGGTGACGCCTGGTCGCCGAAGCTCTTCTCGGTGGCCCGGCAGGAAAATAAAAGTTTGAACGCTCTCCTCCCACCCACCCAGCCCACTCGGACTGAGCGGGTGCTCCTGTCCCCCGGCTCTTTGCTCCTACTTCTGGGAGTCGCAGGAGCAGCGCGCTCACCCCCAAACGCTCTCACACCTTTCCTAAACCTGGCTCTCGGAGCAGGCCCTTCAGCTCGCCCACGCGATTAGTGGAAATCAAACGAAAAATTTGAAGAACAACGAAATGACGGGTTCCACCATGCCTGGAGCCACCTTTCCCCGCACAGGCTTCGGCAGCTGGTGCCTGGGTGCCTGGGAGGGCCCAGGACCTCTCGAATTCAGCTAATGCCCCTTACCCACCCTCCCTCCCCACCCCCACTCCTGAAGCCTCATTCATTTTTATTTATTTATTTATTTTTTTTAATCTTCAGGGAAAGTAGAACTACAAGGAAAACGCCTAGAGATTGAACACTCGGTCCCCAAAAAACAAAGGTAGGAAAAGCGCTCATTTGGGGGAACTGAGAGGAATATTAAGAGGGTCCATAGCGTCTCCAGTGGAACAAACCCATGACTGGCCTTTCCACCCCCAACTCCGGATGTTGGGGGCTGGGAGAGAAGATTGGCTAAGATATTGTAATGGGTGTTTTACAGCTTTAAAAAAAAAAGAAAAGATAGAAAAAAACCTCAACAACTTGGGACTGGGGTGGGCCAAAAGATGTTACTTGAAGAGATTAAAGAAAAAGAATCAATAGTGTAGAAGCCCTGTGGAGTTAATTCAGAGTATGGGACCATGTTTTTAGGGGAGCTTAACTACGGAGAGTTCAAACTCATGGCGGGGGTGATTTCTTCAGCTTCCTGCTAGCCTCCTTTTTTCTCTCATCCACATCATAATTTGAAAGTGGATTTAAGGGAGTCCTTTTGCTATTGGGGGTAAAACAAATGAGCAGCCTACCCCCATTAGAATCTCCTTATGCTGTGTTAATTTCGGTTACAGGCATGGATTTTGTTGCCCCCCTCACAGCCCCTCATCCCCAGCCCCTCACATCTTATATTGCCCCTTCAACTGGATTTTCAAAGAATATGCTTTGGCTGTGCTATCCCTTTCCAGCCCCCCCACCCCCACTCCTTCAGCCCATTGTTACAAGGGACCATCTGGGGTGAGAGCTTTGTGCTCAGGCTGTGAGCTGGGGCGCTTTGGAGGGTCTAGAACTCCCGGGGATGAATGGGTGTGTGTGTGTTCTCATGTGAGTTCCTTTTACCCTGTGTTCCGTCTTTTCCAGCAAAGTGGGGTATCTCCGTCTTCCTCCCCTAAAATTCGGGGTGCGTTTTCCAGTCTGCCTTGAATTCTGAAGTGTTTGGTTGAACTCTGGGCAGTGTTTCTCGAATCAGACTTTTTGAACATGTTGACAGTGCAGTTTTCTTTCCTGTCTTAGTCGGAAGCATCCCTCAGTGCGATTTTGATCCTCTCAACCCCTTCTCAGCCGGAAACTTCCTGTATTTCTGAACAGTTTTTGGCTCTTCCTAAGTGGAAAGGTGTGTGGGGGGTATTTTTAAAATAATCTAGGAGGTATTTTTAAAATAATCTAGGAAGTGTGGCTGGAGGTTAAACTATTCTGTGGTTTGGTTTTTAGATTTTTAAGTGACTGAATTAGTGTATCTATAGATGATCAATATGGCTTGTGTCTATGTTTATAGAGTATGTGATTTGTTGTCAAATGCTTGAGAAATTTATTGGAAAGGTGATTAGAATTAGGAGCAAAGAGGCACTAAAATTGGAAGGAAGGAAAGTCTTCGAAAAATTTTTTGGGAGGTGAAAATAACATAATTGAGTTAAATTCTTTGAAGATTATGAATATTTAAATCCAAAGCTGTGTTGATGGGAAATCTAATAACTGGAATTCTGAAAAATGTGATAATTCCTCCTTCCCCTGCTCTTGAGAGTGCTTTAAAATTTAAAACCGAAGAAGGGAAAAGAGAACGAAATAGCAAATTGTGGTGAAATGGAACTCAAACATTTATATTTTAATTTTCATGGTGCCCTGTATTTGTGGATCTTTCTCTTCAAGCCATCTGCCTGCTTTATGGCATTCTTATCTAGGTTCCTTGTTCCCTCCAAAATGCATTACTAAGAGCTCTTGTGAGTGGAAATGGAAAGAGGGTCTGTGAGAAGCCGGTTCTTAAAAAAAAAAAATTCCCTCTTCATGTCCATATTCAGTTCCATCTTTTGTGTGTTCTCCCCTTCACTGAAATACTTTTTGAACCAAACATTGAAGCAGCTGTAATTTTTTTTTTTCCCTTCTGGGTAGTGGTGTGGGAAGAGGCTATTTCTAGCATGAACCAATTTTTGAAGTCCGGGTTTAAAAAAAAAGTTTGTTTTCGTTAAAGTCAGTTTGCTCTGTTTTGTGTTCCTTGAGGAACAGCTTGTTGTGGTGCTTGTATAGTTTGTGTCGGAGCATACACCTTCAGTTGAGTTATTGCTGGCCTTTTCAGTCTCTTGAAACACAGAAGCAAATTTAGTCAGCTAACATTCTAAGCAAAATGAACACCTGTAGAAGTGTATTTTTTCTATGTGTATTGTGTTTTCAGTGTTTAAAGTTGAACTCCTGATACACTCAAGTGCAAATGAATTATGACTTAAAAATATTCCTGTATTTTGTTGTTCCTTTGAATATATTTGATAAATATGATTTATACCTTTCAAAAACCCAATTAGTCCTAGCATCATATTTAAGCTGAAAACAGCAAATTTGAATTTTAAATATGAGAGACATTAAATTTCACTATTATCTTCCCCAACTCTGTCAGCCAGTACTGGGAATTTGGTTGGCAATTTTGTTCTGTAATTTATATCTATTCACTGGTGTATGTTGGTACAAAGGAGAAGGACCCAAAGCATTTTAAAAACAGTTATGCAGCATTTGTGTTTAGATGTGTCTTCTTTAGGAGACTTAAGAAAAATTGAGGCAAGGAAGGAGCTGCCTGCCATCTTAGACTTTCTTAGGGAGGGAAATGATTTGATTTACTTTTGAAGAGAATGAAACTTTCCTTACACCTACCCCTGAGGCCTTTTTCTAGGCGAGTGTCCTAAACCTTGCATTGTACTTGTCAACTGCTACCATCAAAATAAAATGTTACCCTTAACATATGAAAGATATTTTTTTCCCCAGGTGATTCCAACTTTGATCTCTTTTCCTTTAAATTGACTTAAAATGAAGTGAGTTAATACCTTCTCCTAAATTTCCAATGATTACAATGAAAACTGGTCTCTTTTCCAGGGGTGAAAAACTCTGAAAAGAGAATGTATTCCAGTTTGATTCCTATTTTATATAAGTTTAGTTTTCTGGACTCAGCACCTTAAAATCTGTGAAGGGTTGTTTTGTACATGACAGGAAATATTTTCAACGTATTTAAAATGAACTGTAGAAACCTTGAATAATTGAGTCACTAAATCTTTTCAAAACATGTTAAAAACCACGTTCAGAAATAAGTTTGCATTTAATCAGAAAGCAAACAGCACACAGTTTGGAGCTAGAGGCTGAAAAATGGAAAGGAAGAAGGTTGAAAGATGGCAGCCTGGCTTTTATAGCACTTATGTGTAAGCTGGGGGTGGGTGGGGTGGGAGGTGGGGGTGGCACACACCTTTAGTTGGGAGCCAGAGGCAGGAGGATCTGTGTGAGTTCAAGACTAGCCTGGTTTACAGAGCAGTTCCAGGACAGCCAGGGCTGCACAGAGAAACCTTGTCTTGGAAAACAAAACAAAACAACAAGAAGTTTATAATAGAAAGAATTTATAACTTTTTTAGTAAAAAGAATGTTGTTAACCTGTATATTTTTAAGTGAAAAAATGGTTGTCTTTGGTATTTGGAGAAATGTATATACTGAAGTTCATTCCCTCCATTTTAGTTTCCACTTAGAAATGAATTTTACAAATTCATAAATTTCCTTTATTGCTAGAAAAAAGCCATAGTTTCTTAATCTGGTAGTTCAGATTTGAAGACGAAACTTGCCTGAGTATAATTAACTGTTCCTTGAAAGCATTGTGAATTTCTTAGCCCTGGGTTTTCTGGAATTTTACTGTGATGGTTTCTCAGATAGAGAGTTTGGGATTCCCATCACTAACTTCAGAGTGACTTTATTCCAGTTGTCTGGGTTTGATGACATGGGTTTTGGTGGTCTCAGTGTTTTGGGGGTGAAATACATAACCACAATTGGAAGGCTCTTGATTCAAGGGTTCTGGGTGTCTACCTTTCAGAATTACCTTAATAGATCATTTGAATCTAATTCACTTGAGTAGCTGCTTTTAAGACGCGGGAGGTTTTTGGTGTTTTTTATTTGTTTGTTTTGTTTTAATGTATAACAGTCAGTTGACAAAGATATCATTTGAGACAGGCTAGTGAAAAACACTTAAAAATATTTTATTAAAACCTTTTATTTGAGCCCAGCAGTAATCCCAGTAATCCCCTCAGAGTAAATCCCTGCAGAGGCAGCGGATTTTTGAGTTCGAGGCCAGCCTGGTCTAAGACAGCCAGGGCTGTTAAACAGAAAAACCCTTTCAAAAATCAAACAAAAGCCAACTAACCAACCAACCAAAAACAAACCCAAACCTTACATTTGAGCTGGGCATAGTGGTACACACCTTTAATCTCAGCACTCTGGAGGGAGAAGCAGATCTCCGTGAGTTTGAGGCCCGCCTGGTCTATGTAGTGAGTTTCAGGACAGCCAGAGCTATGTAGAGAGATTATCTCAAAAACAAACAAAAAATCCTCTCATCTGGTTTGGTTAAGTGAAAAGGGGGAGACTAGCAAGTGTTTGTGTTTTGAGACTGGGTCGGTCTCATTGTGTATCCCAGGCTGCCCCCAGCCTAATGGTAATCCTCCTGCCTCAGAGAGCCTCCAGAGTTCTGTGATTACAGGTGTGATTACAGCCACTGGACCTTTTCATGGTGAGGAAAGATGTTTTTGGTGCATACCTCGATTTGCGTGTGGAAGGTGGTAGGGATAGTGTCATAAGACAAAAATGAACCTAAGGCGATTGAGGAAGTGACATTTCCCCATCTGTTAAAATTTAAATTGTCTTGTCTGTCCCCATCTCTTAAAAGATTTTAAAATGGGGATGTTGTTTTAGAAAGCTCAACTTTGATTTGAGGAGGAGAGTGGTAAGGAGAAGATGGAGAGACAGGGCCCGAGAGGGGGGAGGCAGTAGAGATTGGGGTGTTGGATTCCCACCTCGCTTTGAAAGAAGAGCCACTGGAGGCTCGTGGTCACCCTCTGTCACCAGGTTTAGGAAGACAGATGCAGTCAGCATGAGGCAAGGCTAATTTTGTTTTGCCCTGAGTTTTTGGACTTCCGTGTTCAGAAACAGAGGGTGGGGTGGGAGAGGAGAGAGCTGAGCGCTCGAGGCTCTTCCTGGACCTTCCTGTCTGACCTTCTCACCGTGACCTTCCCGGCCCTCACGCTTGCACCCAGTGCTCTCCTGAGCTCCACTTCCTTTCCC